TCCTCTCAGCTTATCTTAAAAAGCAACAGTCACCCAGACCAGTAATGTTGTTGTGCTGCATCGATCGATGGGACGCAATGATAAATCAGGCTGAAATATGAGCGGTTTAGCTTCAACGCACGTGGATCATAATGACGATAGGAACAGGGATGATAAGGAGGAGGGTGGAGGTGAGGGTGGAGGTGGACGATCAGATGTGACCAGTTGGTCATAGAAACTGATGGCATGACGGTCAGAGATCCTCCTCCTCCTTCCCTCGTGAACAGGAAAATTGATCGCGGGGCAGCAGCTGAATGATCGCTCCTAATTAGATATGACACGACTTCACGATAAAGATCAGGGCTGAAGTGCTGCGGGGGGTTAATGCAGATGGGAGTGGCTTTGAGCACAGAAGGTTGTTGGTGGAATAATTCATCTATTTAGACTTAACATATTGTGATTTAATCTTCTTCTTCTTCTTCGTCTTCTTCCAGCTGCCCCCTTCTGGGGGTCAACACAGCAGATCGTATGCCTCCACCTCAGCCTCCCCTGCCTCCTCTACTGTTACACCAACCTTCTCCATGTCCTCTTTCACCACATCCATAAATCTTCTCTGGCAACTCCATTTCCAATACCTCACATCCCACATATCCACCAGCTCCACCACTAAACCTCGTGTTTAATGCTGAAACATTAGAAGCCAACACCATATCATGGAAAATAGAAAAAAAAGCTGTGTTTCAGTAAATGACTGAATGGATCGTTATTTCTGTTGACCTCATGTTGATTTCTTGTTCCCAAATTTGGTGAGCACAAGATGAATCCATTTTCCAGGCTGACATTTGGAAACACAACAGAGCTATATGTTGTGAACACATGGCTCTGTTGGCTTAAAAATCTGAAAAAAATCATTCTTTTGTAATGGGTTTCATAACATTTCATTAGTAAATAAACCAGAGCCCAAAAGAACCCAATGCCCCCTGTGCTTACTGGCATGATGACTGCTCACTGCCCATCCCATTCTGCCTGCTCAGGGCTCAAGTCACAGAGGAGAAAAAGAGGGGGAGGAGGGGGAAGAAGGTGAAGGAGGAGGAGGATGGTGTGACTATAAGAGCCAGAGTCCCTCAGCACATTTACAATGCAGGACCTTTACTGCTGTCTGTCTGCATGCTCCTCCATCCATCAAGTGCCAAGTGGACCAGAAAACAAACACCCGGTTCCATTGACTGGTCTTATTACGCTGCACTTATCAAAGTGAACACACACTCCTAATTTAAAGTTAGCTATAATTAGTCTCTTACACACATTCAAAGGACTTCAGGTTGATCTGAGCCAATAGGACGAGGTGTTTGTTTCATAATACTGACCGTGCTTTGATATTAAAATGAAGGCCCTCCACCTGCCGTAACACGCACTTTCATTCTTTTCTTCCTTTGCCACTGAATACTGCATCCCAACCTCTAAATACTGCATCCCAACCTCTAAATACTGCATCCCAACCTCCAAATACTGCATCCCAACCTCCGACTGTGGCCTGGTAGGAGTGCAACAACTGAACATACGGACCACATTAGTCACTGGAGTTCGATTCCTGGTACAGCCTACGTTGCTCGTGCCAGTGAAGGATATTCTTTCAGTGACTGAAAAAATGTGGATAAGGATGCTTTGCTGTCCCCCCTCCTCCTCCCCCCTCTCCCTCTCTCTCCATATCATTCCAGCTTTTGGCATTCACCCACAAAAAAAATGACTTCAAAGCTCTCTGCAGAACACATACACACAGGATGACCTAGTTTTGATGAGGGAGCTGTGTCAGGGTGAAATATATTCCACAGCATGGAGAGCGGTGGCTGGGAGATGTTGGGTGGGGTCGCTGCATTATGCTGCTCGACTCTGAGTCAGGCAGAAAGATGCAGGTGCGGCAACCATCGACTTAAATCCTGCCGTTGCTGCTGCTGCTGCTACAGGGTGATACCCCTGAATCTCTATCTGTTATATTTGCCTTTCTGCAGATTTATCAGCTGTGATTAATTTGCTTCAGATCATAGAAATCAACCTGCGTCACTGATACAACACATTGGATGCAACACCGTAGCGCACGCAGGTCCTGGTGTGGATTCTGTTTAAATTAGAATTAACTTTTACTTTTAACATTCAGATTCTAATATATTAGGATCTATTGACACACTGGCTTAATATAAACCTAAAGTTGCACCGGAGTTGGACCGCTCCCTCTCATCATCATCATCATCCTCATCCTCATCCCCTCAGCATCCTTTTGTGCCATGGGTGTCGCCACAGCATCTCACCGTCATCCAACCTGTCTCAGCCGCTTTACCTCCAGCAGAAATATGTGTTAAATGAATTGCGAGCACTCACCGATCGCGGTCTTGGCCATTTCTGTGCGGTGCTGTAGCTGCGGGTTTACCGGTCGGTGGATGCTGTGTCTCAGGGTGGAGGACCTGCTGGTAAGGCACTGAGTCAGCAGAGACGGAGGCTGCTGGTGCGCGTGGTGGTCTGGAATGATCGGAGTGAAGTCAACGGTAATTAACTAGGACCAGTCCGGAAGTGACTGAACGTTGACTTCAGAATAAAAGCATAATTTGACCGACACCTTGGATAACAGGCAAGACACACCCTTCTGCCGGTCTCTTTGGTATCAGACCAGACAGGGAATAAGTAAGTAATTGTTTAATTGTTTTTAACATAATTTTAGATTACGTCAACGAGACAATGATGGTAATATTACCACCATAGGTCAAACTCCTGCCTCCTAAATATTTTATCAGAGCTCAATAAAAGAGATTTTTTGTGTGTTTGAAAGGAATTGTTGTGGAAAAACTGAAGACAAGTCAAATGCTTGGTTCACTTTTGTGTTCACGTTTTAATATAAAGCTAGATTTATTTGTTTATTTTCCCTTTATTATGAGCTATGGTAACAACCACTGAAGGGATTAGATAGAAATATAATAATATTAAATATCACCTAATAAATTAATGTAACCAATGCAATTATGTATGCATTTTATTATTTATAGATCACTTATTATGTCAGTGGATACTCATTTTAAAAGCCCAGGATCCGATAACTAATAACATACTACTGAGACCTTGGACAATATAATTTATCAATTTATTATAACTTTTTAAAAGAGGGATTGTGAAGTTAGAATGTTAAAGGAGAGAATCATGGGGAAAATGCACAAGTATGTTCATTTTAGTTGCTAAATAAGGCGTTATTATTATTATTATTATTTTCTAGATGGACCCACCCAAACACTACGCACCACATTGTTCTTATGCTATTACTTTGAAAATGTTTGACTGAAAATCTGGAACGTAATCTGCTTGACTACGGTTCCGTAATGAACTTTTATGTGTCTTTCAGCATCTACAGGGTACCACACTCCCCTGACTCCTAATCACATCCCAGACAGTCCAGTGTCCGTAGTGGAGGGTTCGTTCAAAGACATGGGTGTTTCCCTCTTTGTTCCCCCAGAGACGGCCAGCTACAATACGTTTCTGACCATGGTGAGAGATTAGAGGCTATCATTTAATTTTAGGTCAGTGATAGTCTTCTTTTCATGATAAATGGGGAATTCGAGTGTTAAGTAACTGCTGAAAAATATATTAAACGTAATTTAGGCTAAACGTTACAATTACTGGTTCAAGCTTTTTTTCAGTTCGTAAAAATGTGACTTAAACCTAAAATATTATTTTTAAAAACAGCCACTCAATATAAAACTATTCCTACGGTCTTATTTACTGAATAGAGAGAAAAACAGTTGGTCCAAACGAGAAAGCTGTTCAATGCTGCTCAGTAGAGCAATGTCCACTAGAGGGCAGAAAAACTCATTTTTTATATATTTTAAATAAACAGTATTTTCATGTCTGAAGAAATCCATAAGAAGGAGTTTTAGTCATCAAAAGGTGACTTTTTTTATTATTCGCTGAAAATTGGACATGACTGCAGTTGACCGACAACGCAACCATTTCAGTTATACAGTATGCGTGGTCCATAGCACATATGTGGTTTAGAAATGAATAAACCAATCTAGATTACAGGGAGTAAACAACCCCCCATTTTTCTTTGTTCTCTCTCTCTCTGTGTGGACCTATATATTTATATTGCATTCAATTCAAATTTGGAATTGTGAACTTTTATTTAAGAATTCTGGGGGTGGCAGTTATTCGATACACCTGAACATAAAAAAATGACTGTAACTGTAGACAAGACCCTAATCTAAATATGAAATGCTTATTCTCAACGTCAATTTATACTTTTACCGGGGCTTCCTCTCACAAAGTCCGTTAGTCAAACTATTTTTGAAATTGTTGTTGAAAGAGACTATTACACGAGGTTTCTAAACTAAACTTAAATGACTCATATTAGTAACCGTAAACCTGCGCGACCGCATCACTGCTCCTTTGAGTTGCCCGTCCGCTCCGTTGAGTAGTACGTGCCGTGTCTACTTTACCGTTTAGTGACTCGTGTCGTGTGCGTGTGTCGCAATATCAGAGTTCAATTCAATTGAAACACACGAGATTTAGGCAACAATCAAAAGATTTGACATTGTGATGAACCTTTTCCTCCGACTGTTCGAGAGGTGGTTGACTTGGGGATGAGGAGGAGCTTGAGTTAACGACGAGCTGGCAAAGTTAAGGCAGATCTTTTATTACATGAGACAGAAGACGCTGATTTTGGCGCTTTCTTGTGGGGAAATTGACAAGGAGGCAGCATAAAGGTACAGAAACTGTTTTCTATTTCTGGTTCACTCACCTGACTGTAACTTCCGTTACACCGTTTATTACAAAAGATGTCTTATTGTTTTTTACATGTACATGCCCCGTGGTTAGCATGTCCATCAGCAGCATCCCGTATATGTTAATGCATTTGTGGAAATCAAACCATGACAGTTAAACAGCGCGCCCTTAATGGTTTTATATACGATGTATATAAAAATACAAGCGGCAGGTAGTGTTTTCACGTTAACGTAAAATGCTGTTTTAAGGAGCCGTGTTGCCTGGTGCCTCTGTGGTACATCAGAGCGATGCTAATGATGCTGCTAGTACCCGATCAGCTCTCATGTCAGTGGATGCTCACCATTACCTTTGAGTCATGTAGAACACTTAAATAATCATTTTTGTATTATTTTTAACCTGTTAGTGTCAGTTCAACGGTCGGAGGCGAGTGTTCCTGTTATTTCGTTGGTCTGGGCTGGACAAACAACGTGTAAGGAAGTATGCACTTTATGTACTTGTTTACTCAATAAAATGAGCTCACTCATCAGGAGCTTCTTTTCCACGACTCATAACGATGTCTGGTTAAATTAGACGTCGGTCTTAGAGATTAAATTGCGTTAACTCCTAAACAGACGTTTTCTTTTATGATGGGGCACATGGAGTTCCTCCAGCAGCCATGTTGGCTGCCGGCATGCGGACCAGATGCTGGTATAATTACATTCATACCATAATTGGACACAGAATGCTGGCCTCATCAAAAGACGTTTTTGTCTTGCTGTGTTCATGTAAAGGTGTGCAAGCTAACAACGCAATTTGTGTCGGCAGGTGGGTTTTTATTTGCCATGATTTGTCCCCCCTCTTTACTACAGATAAACCCTGGTAATTTAGTGACATTCATGTCAACATAATAGAAATGTTCTTTTCTTATAATCCTTTTTTTAAAATGTGATAAAGCATTTCTGTGTGGTATACTGTAAACATCATATGTCTTGCAATGCAGCTGGTTAATCAAAGTCTAGATGGTCCTTTGCTGTCGTGGTTGAACAGGGTCATTGTTTTCTTTTTCTTTCACAGACTGTCTTGACAATAACGTGACACTCCCTTGTCCTAGTCTAGTTTGGTCCACTCCTCCCTCCTTCAGTCACAGTCTCACTGTTAGGTGCTGGTCTGCCAAACCACTCCCCAGTCACTGTTACTACCACTGCCACTGATGTTTCCTCATTTCCTCTGCAGAGTCGAGCGTGCAGGCTGTAGTTCAGGATGGTTGTTGAGGGAGATACCACCTCTCAGTCCAGCGGTGTGAGGCTAAAACAGGAGATCTCCCTCCTCCATGGCGTCTGTCTCATCGTGGGGAACATGATTGGCTCTGGCATCTTTGTCTCACCTAAGGTCAGAGGCACATCGACTCTTTTCTGTTTTCTTTCTGTGTTCAGTAATTGACAAAAAATAAAATTGTGTGCTTTCCTTTTCCTGTTTGTTCATGTTTTGTCATCCTGTCACATTAGACGGTGGCAGTTTGATGTTGTAATTCTAGACTTAAAATGCTATTGTGTCTGTCTTGCTGCTGTTGTTCTGTTGTCACTGCAGCCTGTGTAGAGCTGTCATGCTGCTCTTCTCACGCACATGCACATGAGTTGTAAACAGTATAGCACTGTTTTCACTGTACACAGACACTCACTTGTATGTTTGTTTTTTGTTTTTTTGCAGGGTGTTCTCATGTATACAGGTTCATTTGGCTTGTCTCTGGTGGTGTGGGCCATTGGGGGAGTATTCTCTGTTTTTGGAGCCTTGTGTTATGCAGAGCTGGGAACCACCATCCATAAATCTGGTGCATCTTATGCCTACATTCTGGAGGCCTTTGGTAGATTTTTAGCATTTATACGGTACGTATAAAGTGTGTTGAGCATCTTCAGATAGCTGCTGTGTAGTCCTGTTTAAGTTGAGGAACCTAAACTGTTGCCTTCAGCCTCCGTGTTGTCCACCCTGAAGCTGTTTGATGTGTGAGAACAGAGACAGTTGATACAAATTAAAGTAAATAATGTTTTCCATGTTTTGTGTTTACGTTTAAGTATTTGACTAAATAGTAAATATTTGACTAAATAGTAAGTAAGACTTGACACATGAGACACTAAAGCGACTTACATTAGGTTGATTGAGTGCATGTAGAGCAGACGTGTAGAAACTTTTCCATCAGTGTCTAACTAAACTGAAGTGTGCTGAACATAATTATCAGAATAAGTAACTCGTACTGTATGCTGTGTCCCACAAAGATTAAAATGTTGTTTCTTTTCACCTCACTGTAACAACTCTGTGCATCTGTGTTTCTACTCTGTACAGATTGTGGACGTCCTTGTTAATAGTAGAACCAGCCTGTCAGGCAGTGATAGCCTTGACTTTCTCCAACTATCTAGTCCAGCCCTTCTACCCTTCCTGTTCAGCCCCTTATGTTGCCGTCCGCCTCATTGCTGCTGCTATCATATGTAAGTTCCCACCTGCCCTAAATAAAATGCATGCTCTGTTAGAGCTAGTGGGTTGAGGAGGTGTTTCCACAACGTTCAGTGTTTATGGCAACGCATCATTTCACCTGAACCTGAAGGTTTATCCTTGTTTTCCTCCCACGTTTGTCAGGTTTGTTGACTGCTGTGAACTGCATGAAGGTGAAGTGGGGAGCTATACTGCAGGTCATCTCCACTGTAGCTAAGGTTCTCGCTCTGATCATTATCATCATCGCCGGCCTTGTCAAACTGGGACAAGGTACGTCAACAGTCAGACATGAAACTTCATTGGTACTTGACTAAAACACTGTGTACAAATACAGAAGTGATGGAGGTTATATACTTCAAGAAGTCCTAGAAATACTTTGTATTTTCTTGCTGCTACTTCATTATCTGCCACTGCTTCAGAACTGTGGTAGAAGAAGTTTTTGTCAATATGATGAAAGTTTCTAACCATCTGTTTCTGATGCAGGTTTTGACCAGAACTTTGAGAACTCGTTTAAAGGCTCCAAGCTGAACCCTGGTGACTTGGCCTTGGCTCTTTACTCAGCACTTTACTCCTACTCTGGGTGGGACACACTCAACTTCATCACAGAGGAAATCAAGAACCCAAAGAGGTATAGAGGGATGATCAGAGTGCTCTCACACCAGCAGGGGCTTTTATTGTCTACTTTAATTACATTGAATACAGTGTTTTACAATACTAAGGAGATGAAATCAACTTAGTTGAATTAGATATAAACCAATTGTCACAGATTTCTTTCAATTTTTCTCTCATTAGGAACCTGCCTTTGTCCATCGCCATCTCAATGCCAATTGTCACAGTGATCTACATCTTGACCAACGTGGCCTATTATGTTGTAATGGACGCAGACAAAGTGCTCAGCAGTGAGGCTGTTGCTGTGGTGAGTATCTGAGGATCTGTAACTTGTACCTTTGCTGTAAGTAACCTTGTGATAAATGCAGTAATAAAGATCAGAACATTGGAAGCAGCTGCATGATTTCCCAGGAGCAGCAGTTTTCAGTCTGTCCTCCACTCTCTCTGACTGAAAGCTGCTGCTATCTTTTTTGGTGCAGTTCTGGCTGCTGGTTTATCTGACTGTATTGGAGATGATGACAGGAACCTCATTCAGCTAAAGAAGTTAGTGCAGCCCACAGGAACAAGGGCAGCTGATGATGATGATGTTAGGGTGGATGCAGAGCTGCATTTAGGTTGGTTGAAAATGTCATTTGATGATGGGTTTTTAATTGGCCTATTTAGTCTAACGATTCCAATTAACAAGCAATTGACTCTGTCTGTATTTAATTGCTGAAAGACATACAGCAGCAAATGCTTCTCATGTTTTCATTTATTAACCATTTGTAGAGTTAAGAGCAGTAAGTCAGCTCTGCAGCTCATGTTATTCATCAGAATTTGCCAGGATTCAAGAAATGTTTAAAATAATAATGAGATGGGTTTTTATCCTTCAAAGTTTTCTTTCTTTCTATTTCTTTCAAATGTATGTGGTGTGGTTTAAAACGAGCATCAACATTGACTTTTTTTTTCAAATACATAAATGTATTGGTGAGCAGGTTCAGTGTCTGTTAGCTGTAGGATAGAATGCTAACATTCACCTGGATGTTTGTGCAGACGTTTGCTGATGAGGTGCTGGGCTGGGCCCGCTGGCTGATCCCTCTGGCTGTGGCTATATCCTGCTACGGGGGCCTCAACTCCTCCATCATTGCTGCCTCCAGGTCAGTAAACACTTCTACGTTCACTAACTTCTAGACTTGTCAGAGTATTTGTCTTGTTAAATCCTTCACTCACTTGACATCTGGTCTCTTCCTTCCTCCCCTGCAGATTGTTCTTTGTTGGATCTAGAGAGGGCCAATTACCCAGTGTTCTTTGTATGATCCACATCAGTTGTTTCACTCCAATTCCTGCCCTACTTTTTAATGTGAGCTCCTTGTGTTGTTTAAGTAGGTTTGACCTTTGTGTCTTATTTAACAAACACAGTAAAAAAAAAACCTTTTTTTTGTTCTTCTCTTGTCAGGGTGCCATGTCACTGTTGTTTCTGTCGGTGCCTGATGTGTTCCAGTTGATCAACTACTTCAGTTTTAATTATTGGTTGTTTATTGGCCTCTCTATAGCTAGTCTGATCTACCTGCGTGTCAAAGCTCCAGATCTGCACCGACCTGTCAAGGTAGGAAACATGAGCGCTGACATCTGCTTTGAGAGGCCGTCAGTGCAGAAAGGTTCTAGTTGAGACTTGGTGACCCACATGAACCTCTCACATGCCACTGTTTCTGCTCTGTTTGGTGAGACAACTACCTTAGAGCTATTGTGGTTGTGATGATGTTTATTGATAGATGGTTTACCAGTTGGCAGTTCTTCTTTATCCATTTTCTAAATATTTACAATTTCATGACATTGCAAACAGTTGTCTGTGCTTATGTTTGCTCATCCGTGTCCATGCATTGATGAGGAATTCTTGGGGATTACAGGCTTCAGGTCCTTCCTGTTGACTTTTAAATTAGGTGAAACCAGTTTGTTGCTAATTACTTTCTATCATCAAAGGGATGGTTAGATGTAGTACATATAATTTTTCTTGTTCTCAGTAATAGTAGCCTAATTGAGTTAATATATGTGCCAAAAGAAAGGGGTCTTGAGAAAGAATTCAGAAAGACCAGTTGATCGCTGTGCATTTCTGCCCTTACTATCGTTAGCCTAACCTCTGCCGTACAGTTCATGGGAGCTAGTTCAGTTGAATGACAGTCTTTTAACTCTTTCCTGCCCACACCACAGATCCAGGTTCACTGAATCATTATCAAGAGCAGATTGACATGTCATGTCTTAAGGAGGGCTTGAGTTTTTTGAGGACAGTGGGTGAAATAGGGATAAACTGTAAACACTTCATGGAAATCAGAAAATGAATGTCAGAATTTATTGCGGAACCTTCACTGTCTCCATGGTTGTTTGATCCTCAGTATCAGTAAAGGTGAGAAGCTTATCAGCTAGTTAAGTATTTCAGGGCCACAGAGGAAGAGAACAATGAGAGTAGTTTTTGTGTTTGTTTCCATGTTTATTTTCATCCTTCCTCCCTTCTGTGCTGCAGCTCTCACTCTTCTTCCCCATCGTCTACTGCATATGCAGTGTGTTCCTGGTTGTGGTGCCACTGTACAGCGACACCATCAACTCCCTGGTAGGAATCGCTGTGGCGCTGTCTGGCGCACCAGTATACTACTTCTGCCTCCACCTGCCATCCACCTCCAGACCTGCCTTCTTAAGGAAAATACTAAGTAAGTAAGATAAAATAGCTGGACATTTATCAAAAAAATAGATTCTGTTAAGTTTCAGTAGTAGAACGACATGAACACAGGCTGAGATGTGTAGCATCTATCTGTACAGTACAGCACCAGGGAAGTTCAGTGCGTTTTCATGATAATGTTGAGAATGTTGTGGAGGTGTTGTACTTACCTTAATGTAGAACATTAACTGCAGCTGGAGTAAATGCTCTCTGTAGTGATTAGGATCTAAAGCTGGATTAAGATCAGCCTTTGAAAGTTCACTGTACAAGCTTTATAACGTGAGGAATGTTCAACCTGCTAATCCTGAACTCGTTTTCATTTTGAACACGTTGACTCACCACAAAGTGTTGGTTGGTGTCGTTTTCTCACTGTCGCTGCAGATAAGGTTTCCCTCACCACGCAGAAACTGTGTCTTTGTTGCGTGGCCTCGCCGGACATCGATCTGGACAACATTGACACAGAGAAAGTCAAATGAAAGAGGGTCTGGACAGAGGGAAGAAAGACACAGGACTGAGAGAAGCTGCAGACAATCAGCATTTGGACTAGATGAGACTGGGTGCGTTTTTTTTTTTTGTTTGTTTTTGTTTTTAATGATATGGACGGTGGAACAGACCTCTGCTCCTTTCACAAATGAGCCACATGTCTGATGTATTTTATACCTGACAAGCCTCCAGATTGAAGCACTACACAGGTTTTACTGCACAGCCACACAGCAGCACAGTGTGCAGTGAGGTCTGTGCTGTTCACGTCACATGCAGTAACAGGACCAAAGACCTGTCGATCACTTTCCTTCCAAGCACAAAATGACAATTTGGTTTCATAGATTGTTGCTCCACCCAACGCTCACATTTCTCACCACCCCACTGAAGAATTCACAGATGAGACTAACGTCTGACTAGACATATCTAGATGCCTCCGTTGACCTTGTCGATCTATTTTCTCCTCCTTGTTCTCGTGCATGTTTTGTACTGAGCGTCCAATTGGTTTTTCCTCTGTACCGAGTTTCATTAACCAGCAAATTATCCCATGATCTATGGTAAAAGCCAAAAAAGGGCACTTCCCCCCCATGGTCTCGAATGGTGGCATCGACATAAGTCTGTGTGACCAGATCTAATGTTAAATGTGCCCTAAAATCAAGTCCTCTGTTGCTGGAGTTGAATATTTAATTTGTCTCAGTTTGAACGATTGATCATGATGTGCAGACAAGACAAGACGACTTTAACTCCCCTCCATCCTCATCAACTGTAATACCTCTGAGTCCCATCGACTCCAAACTGCTTTCTTCCCTCCAACTCACTGTAGCTGTCTTGTTATTGATGCTGCTGTGCCTCGCAGGAGGAACATGTCGCTCACTATTGTTCACTTCCAACTGCAGGGGACACTTGACCAGAAACACTGAAATGGTCACTGACCACAAAACACACTCTATTTAAATGACTGTATTTAACCAGAAGGATTTTTCCAACTGTTGTGCGTAGTTGCGTAGATGGATGTTGTGACTTTTACTCTAAGACCAGTCAGCTGCTGCTGAAGTGCTTTGTTGTGAAGGGGTTTAATTCTACATTGGCAGAAACGACGTCCTGTGTTTGCACACACCAGAGACATGTGAGACGACTTATTATTTACCAAAGCATGGTTAGACTCAGTGGCCACCTGCGACATTTTTTGGGCTGATTAGAAAATGTTGCAGTTTCTAATCCAGTAGTCGGCTTTGCTGCGCCTTTATTTCATTTCCAAAGAAACTGACGTAGAGCCAGCTCCCAGCAGTAATGAATAATAACACAAATAGCTGCTGTTCACTGAGTTGATCGCTATGTTTACATTCGCTGCATCCATTATTTTCTTGGACCATCAGAGTAATGACAATCTGCTGAATCACACACAAAAAATACATTTGTTTCTGCTGAGCAAGCAGCTGGACATGGGTGTCTCCCCCTGCTGACCAGCTGTAATTCTGCACCTTCACAACCTTTTCCAGGTGTCTTCATAAGTGAATTTTGGGAGATAATCTTTTTTTTACATACTTAAGTCTATGCAACATGTTTTCTCAGCTGTATCTGATTTTTGCCGCCACCTAGTGGCGACATTTTGTCGAAACTTTTTGTCTGCTTGTGTTACTACATTCTTTATTTTTCTTATATTTCTTAAGTTTCCTAGACTAAAATCAAATGATTCGAGTCATCTGTCTGTCCATTTTCGTTCTTTGTTTTATTTTTTGGTAATTGATGCAAACCTCAGGATCAAATAAGTTGCTTGTTTTTTTGTTTCTTTGTTTTGTTTAATTCTCATCTCTTTTGGCAGCATCGTGAGCCTGTAGCTGAGTGTCTCGGATTTTGATGTGATATAATCTACCCCAGGCAGAGGTTCTGTAAACTGTGCCATCAGTGCTCTGGTCGTTGTTGACATTTGTGCCTTCTGTTATTGTGGTCTGACCAAGGCCTGGTCTTATAGTCTCACTTTGTAATGTTTAATCACAGTGTCTTAAGCACAGTCATATTGACACGCCAGTGTACACTGTGTTTCCAGTCAGATGTGGCTGTAGTTGCTTCAGTGTCAGCGCCAAGTGATTGTGATTTTTGCATCACCAACATTCTTATAAAACCAGCCAGTAGAGGAACAGGTAATTAGTTAAATGTTGCTTTCTGTGGTGTGTGGTTTCCTATAAATATATATATATCAATATAAATATATGCTGCATATATCCACATATTGTCCGGTTAATCGAATTGTTCTCTACACAGAACCACGTGTTCATTTATTTTGGTACCAAATGTGGGTCTTCTCTTTCCACACCTTGTGTTCTGTGAACTTATATGGTTGTTGTTTTTATTTATTTGGTTCTAAGTCGACTTCCGTTGTCCCACAGGGTGGGAGAACTGTGCTGTGTTTTTATTCTAATAAAGGCACCAACAGACTGTGCGTCATAAAAATGCTCAGTCAAATTCACCTTAATAAACTTTAACAATTTTCATTTCTATGTTCCATTGCACAACTGATGCAGATAAAAGCCCAAAAATGTCAACAGTTGGTTTGAAGAATGAAAGAAAGAAAATGAGTATTAAATCTTTAGAATGATATTAAACCCACAGGGTCAAAATGCTGGCCTTTGCAATCTACAGTAGTAACTGTAATAAAATGCAATTGTTTTATAGGTTCAGTAATGAAATAATAAAGTTGAGGAACGACAGGCCTATTGTCAAACTAAATAGACCTCTAAAACGATGGATAAGTATGGCCCAAATACACATTCAGTGGCTTCTTATAAAAGCAGATATGATAACAGGAAGTTCATGCGTCCATAAAGAAGACAAAGAACATATGTTAGTTACAGCGTGAACATTTTTATGTACGTAAATACTATAAATGCTGTACACATGGCTGAAATGTCTTTAAGTCTATATCTCCTCCTGTCCTGTCCTGCTCCTGCTCTACTTTCTTCACCTCCTCCTCGGTGCAGAGGCATCACATTTCACCAGGGTGTGGACTGTACTTCAGATGCTGCCCATTGATAGGTGCCCTCTCCTGCGCAGGACACTGACTCCATCCCTCACCCAGAACTGATGGAGTTGGGTTCCACTGACTCATGCATTAAAGATAAAGGAGTGGAGGGGAAATGTAGCCGAGCAGATCAGCAGCTACTGAGGCAGCTCTCTAGAACACAGAGAAAAAGTCAGGAAAAATACAGAACTGAGGAGTCATTATTCCAAATCCTCTAGGCTGCTGTCTTCACACAGGGCACCACTGATGCTCCAGAGGCAGTATCTGACCCAGGGATGGAGACCAGGGCTGGAGTGCTTCTCTTTGATGGATGAGTGGCCGCTACATGCTGACAACTGCTCGGCATCATGGAGTTACATCGACGTCTGAACTGGATAAGAAATCGAGCCTGGAGGGCCAATGTCCCCCACAGGGAGTTCACACGTGAGTTTCCATTATTACTGTGTCATTGTTCCTCAGGTGCTCGACTCCTTTCACTGTGCTCCGAGTCTCCAGGTAATTGTCTAAGTGCTAGTGCTAAACTTGAGAACCTCCCTGAGCGCATGATGCTGCTGCTGCTGCTGCTCTGTGTTTCATGCTGTATTTTCATCTTCAACACAAGGAACAAACAAACTCAATAGGCTTTCTTTACCTGAACACTTAATAATTGTACTGTCCAAACAGTACATTTGTATTAAAACAGCAACAAAATATTAGTTATTATCATCATCATTATTATTTGGCAGTGTGGCTGTCAATTAAAACGTTTAATTAGTTAACCAATCGCGTTTTTAATAAATAATAAACGAAGTAAATCAAGCAATCATCAGCTTGTATTTTTTATTTTTGTCCTGGCAGCTTTGGCTGTCATCAAATAAATTAACACGTTTTAACCAATAGTATTTATTGAGCAAAGCCTCATCCACAAGAGGGAGCTGTTAAGTCATGTGTAAACGACACCCGACCAAATTAGAGTTAAAAAGCCTATTTAAACAGTTAAATAACATGTTCGCAAAAAGCGAATATATAATATTGTTTAAGGGAATATTATATATAAATATATATAAATTATTATCAACATGGAGAAAACAAACTGGTCAAAAGCTTAAATGAACAAATTCACATTCCGTTGTATTGATAGTGACCTTACAGTAGCGGCTGTATATCTGTCTCTATCGTCCTGACCTAAGACTACGCCCTGGTTTTCGATGTCATTTCCCACTGATCTCAGAAGGAAGTGAAGCAAATTTAAATTGCACTTCTCATTGTGCAGTTGTGCAAAGACACAGAAGGGAAACGACATTTGTATTTGTTCCTGTTTGAGGCTGATAGTCAAATAATGGTTTGTCTTTTTTTTAACATTCTCTAATCTGTGTTGAAAACGCAGTCCCTGAAAAACAACCACAATCATAAAGTGACACTTCAACTGTATGAAGGTGGTTAAAATAAACCAATGTAATCAGATGTTGTTCTGCTGCTGTGACCTCCTGTCTCCTGCACATTTGTCTCCTCCTTGTCCTCCTCTACCTTTCCACCCCACCTTTGCTCTCCTCACATTTGCTTTATTGCCTTCCCAGCTCCCTGCGTCTCCTTCAGGGTCTCCTCCTCCCATTACCTTTATTACATCTCCCCTTTCTTACTTCAAATTTTCATTTTAACACCTTCCAGCTCCAGCATTTGTTATCATGCTCCTCCTACATAAGGCCACATTTGGCCTCAGACTATTTCTCTAAGGTCAGCGTTATCTGAAACTGACCCTCCATTCTTCTATTCTTTGGTTTCCTCCACTTTTTTTTGACTTTATTTATTTTATTTTATTATTTTTTTGTTTCCTCATCCATCTTCCACTTGGTAACCAACCAGTCTAGTGAGCTGGAAGGACACACATGACTGAGAAATGATGTTGGCCTCAACTCTTATTTTCCCTTTGTAATTTCACACAATAAATTCAACAAGCAAGGCTGCAGCGTGGGCTGTGTATGAAAACAGAGAGAGAAGGACTGATGGGAGAAAAGGAGAGGGGAGGAGGTGAGGGGGGAGAGGAGAGAACAACATAAATGGCTGCCTGTGTTTCCTAAATAAAAGGAGCGCGCTTCGTGTTATTTATTTATTGCTGTAGCTGTAGCTGTAGCTCTGGTGTGTGTTGGTCATCACCTTGACCTTCTTTATGTCTCTGCTCTTATTCTGTGACCATGGCTCAGATGTTTTTCTTATGTTGAAGCAGTTTCATACTAAAACAATACAAATTGTATGATTTTTTTTATTTTTTTTATTTTAGCAGTGTTTGGGACATTTTAACGACTAGCTCCACTTTCTGGTTAACTCTTGTGTTTTTGTAGTGCATTTTCAGCAACATGTTTGTTTCCTCACTTCAGTCATGTTGGCTAGACATGTATTATTTACTGCCACATTAAAAGCCCCTGTCAGGGCAACCCATTAAAACGACCTCCATGATGTCGTTATGGAGTTCATCTTGGTTTAAAATGTAACTTTTGCATTTGCTCTTGGTGATGTTAATGGCATGAGCTCATTAAGACAATTAGCTGTTGGTGCAATTGGTTCTGCCATAGTCCATTAAAGCATGCAATAAAAGAGAGGGCGACATGGTGACAACATCAATAATCCGCAGCCGTAAAACTGATCTGAAGTCTGTCAGAGAAATATGGGCCTTCCTGTAGTTTTATGTCATTAATGTATATTTTTACAGTCTTGTCACATATATATATATATTTATATTCTCCTGTATTTATAGTCACTGGAGTGGTTTCATGGTGGATTTGTGTTAAGGTCGTGTGCTTTGTGTAAATCATGGTTTAAATAAGCTGCAGGTTTGTGTCTCCAGACTCAGGACAGTAAACTGAGTGTTTATACCACCGTCGTGAAAACCATGACACGTAGACTGACCTCTGACCTCTATATATGTTGGAACAATCTAAAGTGAAGGATAACATATCCCACTGCTGGTATTGTTACAATGTGTGTTCCACTGAAGGTCGACCTTGTTCTGCCACCCTCGCTGTGGATGACTCACTCACCACGAAAAAAATAAAAAAATCTCACTGGAAGCAGAGTCATTGTTCGAGGACAAAACACCATCGATGGAAGAGAGTCAAAGTGTAATGAACGAAGTTTAATTTTCCTCCAGCTGATTGGCTGTCACCGTGGTGGGAGGTACTCACTTTGCTGCGTATTCATTTGAACCGAATCAGATTTGTTTGGGGGAAGAATTTAATCTTGTGTTTCATTTCTTTTCTCCACGCCCACCGCCTTTGTCTCCTCCGTCTTTCCAAGCTGCTTCTCGTCTTTAAATTTATAGTCTAGATGCCAGATTCTCATTCAGTGTCTGTCTCCCAGCATCTCATCACTTCACTGAGACACAAAGGAGCCTTCTGGATGAATGGCATAAAGCTGACTGGTGGACTGTTTATGCCAGTTTTCACCATCTCCAGTCCAAGCCTGCAAGATTTGGCTTCCTGTGTGTGTGTGTGTGTGTGTGTGTGTGTGTGTGGTAAGCAGCAGCAACAGCTCAGGAGCTCGTGGTTCCCATGTCAGTGGGTTCGGTGCTGGTTGCCCAGTCTGTTCTTTGTGCTTCTCAGTAGAACTCCTGGGTTTTCACTGAGTCCAGGATGTGGCTTTATTGAGACTCTATTTCCCTCAGAAGGATGGATGCCAGGCTGAGATAATCGTGTGTGTGTGCTGGCCTTGGTTAAACACACGCTGGTTTCACAGATGAGAACCAACATTCAGATGCTGATGAATCAGACTGACCACCTCAGTGTTGACTCTGTTTTTCTGTGTCCTGAACTGCTGTTTTTTTGTTGTTGTTATTATTTCTATTTTAGCAATACCACCTTTAAAGGTAGATTTTGCTTAAGATTAAAATGATATCATATCCATTAGCCACTGCTGTAGTAGATGACAGTGTTCGTAGCAGCTTCAGCCCATGACTGGCTCTGATTGGATGTCGTTCTTCAGATCAGTCCTGTCATTTTAGCCCGGTGTCTCTTTAACATCTCTGTTCAGAGAACACCAGCTGCAACATAAACAAATGTTCTTTTACACTCTGTTGCCCAACCATTCTTACTGGTCCACACCCTCTTTCTCAAGCAGCGGCAGCCTCCCATCCTGTCCACCGACTTACACTTGTCTATGTCTTTGACTGCATCTCAGCCATAACTGCTGCCTTTATATCTTACACCCAGATGTTTGATGATGAGCCGTCACTTACTGTCTACTCCAAGGACACGTGTTTAAAGCCCACTGCAGGTCGTACCGCTCCACACGTGTGTTTTATTCTCACCGTGTCAAACATGTGTCATCATGTTCCTGTATTTTTTCATGTTTTGAAAGTTGGACTTCTCCATTTGTGCTCCGGCCATGTAGTTCCAGTGAAAGTCCGAGGACACGGAGATGTGCTTGGGCGGCGTGAGAGAGGAAATTGTGGTTTTCAAAGTTCTTGCCACCCTGTTGCCCCACCCTGCTGTAATGCTCCTCTGTGTTTCTGGATCTCCTCCTGTGAAGCACGTCTCTGTGTCAACAGCAGCACAGAACTGTGTAACAGTGGATGGAACAGACTCAGACTCTTTTTTCAGATTTCCTGGTTCCTGTGTGCTGAGGTCTCCTCCTGATGTGATGCTGAGATGATTATTCTGATGCACTAAATTTGTTTTTCAATATTGAGTCTGAGCCACATGTGGGACGAATACACAGAATTTAGGCCTTTGGCCCAGGTGACACCAGGAACACCATGGGGCAGGTGCAGAGCAGGGCAGTTGACCTGAGCAGACCTACTGTGTGTCCAGTCTGCTTATTTGCAACCAGATGGCATCGTCCATTCCTTATATACGATCTATTCATTAGAAGAACTTCAAAACAATAAATAAAGAATGGACTTGGAGTTCCATTTATAGATTAGGGTCCACAGAGTCTGAGAGTCAGTGCTTCCACACTTTATCTCTTCTGTCCAGGTGTAGTTATTAGCAGAGGGTTCAACGCGGCCGCGGCCGTCTCAGTGGTGCCAGTCTGCACAGCATCTGCATCACTGCTATTGTCTGCTGTTTGTCCTGTGAGCACAATGGAACACAGAGAAAGTCAAAGAGAGGAAGAGCAAAGGAACGGGACCACAGAGGAGAAAAAGGAAAAACAAAACGTTCAGGAGAGACAGAGAGAGGCAGACAGAGACAGAGAGAGGCAGAGAGAGGCAGACAGAGAGACAGAGAGAGACAGGATTCACAGTGACAGGCAGGAGTCAGCTTGGATTATCCTGGAGCAAAATGCAGCGCAGGGTCAAGACGTACAGCCACGTAGAGCTGAGAAGATGTGGACTTGTTCACAGTAGGTGTTTCTGTCTGTTGTCCTGCTGCAGATTTACACTGGGAGAACATTATACGTGTGTTTTTCAGTGTAGGTTTGTCCAGGTGGAACTGTTTCTTCAGTAATGATGAAGTGTTTGCTGCTGTCACTCCCTGTCACAGACTAACAGCACGTTTGAGGTTCTGACACCAGAGGTTCACTGCTTTTTCACTTTGTTTTTTTTTTTTGTCGTCGATAATGTGTACATTCAGTATGAGTTTATAGACTTGCGCATCGCTTCGTGTGTCTGTGTGTGTGTGTGTGTGTGTGAGGCGGCGTGCCATCATTCTCCATTATCAGAGTCCTTTATCACACACACACTGGAGGCCAGAGAGCATCGCACTCTCACGCACTAACATGCATGTGCTCCCAGATTGAGTCAGAGTGCCATGGCAAATTGAATTGGCCATGCACTGCCCTCATTATTGTTTCCAGGGAAACCAGTCACTCCTTCACAATCATCCAATTTTGTCGTCCCCCTTCAAGGCAAAAGGAGCAGAAGGAGCAGAAGGAACTATCATTTTTATTTGAGTCCATTTTTCTCTGGACATTATTACAATTATTATTATTCTCCCAGAGGATCTTACAGGGTGTTTCTTCCTGCCTCCTCACTTCCTCTGGTCTCAGCTCAGACCTGTGAAGTCTGTCTTTAACGTAGAAATAAAGCTGTGAAGATGCCCGACACTTATGTCTCCTGCAGGACAGGGCAACAAGACAACATCATCCATTCAACAACTTAAAAAACTGATCTGTTCATGTCCAGACTAACGACTCAGCAGTGTTGTGGTGGCCGTGTCTGTCGGAGCCGCTGCAGGAGATCTTCATTCCTGGACATGAGCAGGCTGCCTGCTGATGGGCTGCAGCGACCACACAAGTGACTGATATTGTGTGCTACAGTAACAGGCGACGCACTGATGCATGTTGTGGAGGCAGTGAGTGTGTGGGAGGCCGAGGCCGAGGCTGAGCGTTCAGCCTCCTGGGATAGGCATCATCTGGCTGGATTCAAACGCCAAAGAGATCCATTGTTTGACCCCATTCAAACAACGCCATTGTACCGAGCGCCTCTGATTGTGCTGCTCTTCACAACAGCGGAGTGACAAACGTGTGTGTGTGTGTGTGTGTGTGTGTGTGTGTGTGTGTGTGTTAGCATCTCAGCAGCATGCGTTTGCGTTTCCCAAAGCAGAGGCTTCTCTCTGCCGTCGACAACAATGTTCCCAGTCATTGAAATGCAGCAGAGCAGATTCAGACCAAACTTGACCCTGTTTTTTTTTTTTCGCTGCTGAAGAAGAAGTAACGTCAGCGTTTTTTTTTTTTCGCTGCTGAAGAAGTAACGTCAGCCCTGAAGCTGTTTCATCTGAGAGAATCATTTTAATTCAAACCTTTCACAAGTACTCCCTCTGTTTTATTATGGAGTTTATAATTAGTTTCTTAAACAGTGTTTCTAAGCTGTGCAGAGTGAGATGAGTTTTTTCTGCTCCGTCTGTCTCCGGGCGGACGTGACCAATGAGACGTGTCCACTGTCCCGTCCTTTACTTGACTCACAGCAGGAGCAGGAAGTGATGTTGTCTTTTTTTCCGGGTATGTCCTCACAGAGTTGAGTGAGTTTATCAAGGATGGTAAAAACAACAAAGAGTGATGTTTTCTTCTCAACGGTTGAACTGTAAAAATATCATTATGTGTCAATGTCACAGTGGTCTCCAGATCAGAGTGAACAGATGGGAGTGGGACGTGTCGGCTCCTGCCTCTTCTGGTTTATTTACATCTTCAGCCAATGATTCTTCTTCACACCATTGTGTTGTTCAGTATCAACAGTGTCTCAGTGTCTGCTGTAACCACCAGACTGACCGCTGAGCCATTCACAGATCTGCCACACCTCAGCTTTTATTGAACTGTCCCTGTAGTTTGTTATGATCTTCAATGACGACTCGTTCCTCCTCCTCCTCCTCCTCCTCCTCCTCCTGCTCCTCCTCCTCCAGTTCAAGTTGATATGTGGAGCTCTGCAGTTAATGACTTTCCTATTCTGCAGCTTCCACATTGTCTTTTGTCACTTCCTGATTTTGGATCAGCTGTGGTGAAATGTTGAATGGCTCTTTCCGTCCATTCAGCAGGGAGTTTTCATGTCACACCCTTCTCTCTCTCTCTCTCTCTCTCTTTATCTCTCTCTCTCCCTCGATGGGCAGCAGTGACAGTACTGCTGAGTGCAGTTCAGCGTCTGGTACAGAGTTAATGTTAGAAGTAAACTGTCATTTTTTGGTCTATTTTCACGGCTGTTCTTTAACAACAGTTTTCTTTGACAGTGATGTTTTTCATCAGCGTTGATTCTGTTTTGGTCTCAAGTTCATTTAAGTTTTAGTTTTAGTCAACTAACTATGTGAAGAATGTGAACACACACACACGTGTGTGCACACACTGTCGAACCACCAACTGTTGATGCGACTAACTGCCCCACACAGACCCGTCTGTCCACACTTTAACCCCGTTCACACGTGTTCAGAGCTGCTGATAGATGTGATGTGTCTGAATTGTCTGGACGAGCCGCAGCGAAAATGAGTTTGTCGTCAGGTTTGTTCCCCGGAGCCTTAGCCTTAAAGGGAGACAAAGGCAACTCCAAAGGAAGGTGATAATGAATTGACTCCAGGCCTACTTTCTATTTTGGTTGGGAATTGGTTTGTCTAAATGGGAAATGAGTGCAGAGTGAAGACGTGGTGGGAAAAGAAAGGAAGAATCTTGCAGCTTTGTCCCTCCTGCCCTGTCACCTGGACTTCACCACCATCCTCCCTTTTTTATTTGGTGGTGTTTTTTCACTTGTATTGTACTAAGTAAAGAATCAAACCCCCAGCTGAGCCGTCAGGAGAACCACCTGTACACAGAGCTGTTCACAGACTGTGGTGGAAACACATGTTTAGCAGCGAAGCTAATTCCTGCTCCGAAGTAAATGTGAGTGTAGAATGGATTGGTACGCCTCATCCAGATAGATTTCCCCGTCGTCTGAGTCCCTTCAGGTGAGAGTGTTACTCCTGTGACACCGGCAGTTATCGGCCACACGGAGGCCTCCTCGGCTTGGGCCATGTGAACAAAAATA